GAAGAGCGTTTTACCACACCCTGATGAATAACAAAGTGGTGAATAGTAGCCTTGGGTACTGAAGAAAGTTAAAAACAGAGAAAGCCTGCCTTAGGTTAGTATTAATTACTATTATCATTGAATTCTATTGCCCAAATTATTCTCTGTGGTGGAGTAAAGAGTCCTTGCCTTCTGGTTCTCTGGGGCAGTACTTTTCCCTGCCTGAAAAGTTTCATATGGGGGCTTACCTGGTGGCACAATCGTTGAGAATCTGCCTGCCAGTGCAGGGGACACGGGTTCGAGCCCTGGTCCAGGAAGATCCCACATGCCGTGGAGCAACTAAGCCCGTGCGCCACAACTACTGAGCCTGTGCTCTAGAGCCCACGTGCCACAATACTGAAGCCCGCGCGCCTAGAGCACGTGCTCCGCAACAAGAGAAGCCACCGCAATGAGAAGCCCGCGCACCGCAACGAAGAGTAGCAGCTGCTCGCCGCAACTAGAGAAAGCCTGCGTGCAGCAGTGAAGACCCAACGCAGCCAAAAATAAAATAAACAAATTTTTAAAAAAGATTTTAAAAAAGTTTCAGATGAAACATACAATGTCATGTGTCAGAAACAACAAACTCCTAATAGGCCAGTAGATTTCAAGTTCCTAAAGACATGGAAATGGTTGCTAGGCTTTATCTAAAGGTACAATGAAAACTATAGGGGCTCTATTCCAGATCCCTTACACTAAATTGAGAGTGAAAGGTATGTTTCCATTTTGGTACATAATGGGAGTAAGTAAAATGCAAACTTGTATTTGGGAAAATCATTCAATTCTAACAACACGTGAAAGTCTGAGATGTAGGTCAACAAATGCACATTTCTGAAATACAGGTTCTTCTGAGTACATGTTCTGAAGTTCTCTGAAAATCTGGCTAAAACAATCCCTTATAATATACCAGTTCACATAATAAGCAAGTCAGAACTTTTGCTAGGCAAGATGTTGTTTTCCTTTATGGAGCCAGCAAAAACACAGCTCTAAGCTTAGGTTATAATGATAAAAGGCTTTTGGAGCAGCTGATTTTAGGGAATCATAAAAACAACCCAACCCAAAGTGTAAAGAATATGCAGACTGTGCATTATGCTTCAGGACAAATCACTCCACTTTTTTTTCAGTGTAACTGATGCCAATGGATGAGTAAAGGGAGAAATAAATGTACAGACTGGGACCTGTGGCTTGCTGAGGTGAATAACACCTGTATCACAAAATGATGAGTTCTCTCATTTAGTAAATTCTTTGAGATTAATTTACATACTTTTTGAAAAATTTAGAAGGATCAGAATATATTATCAATTATATGTGGAAGCTCCAAGTTTTCTGCTATTTATGGCTTACATGATGAGGTGTCCTACGCATCACAGCATCTTTTAAAAAATCTGTGGCCTTTTTTGGGGAGGTAAGTGAAGGGGTGAAAGGATTATATGATGCATTCCTTTAGATCAATTAGGGAATGGTGAATATAGTTGCATCTCTAGCATAACTATCGAGTGCTTCTTAGATACCTACTGCTGCTTTTCACTGCCTGTCATGAATGCTCATTTAATTCTCCAAACCCTAGGAGGTTGATATTATCCCCACTTTATTGATGAGGAAACCGAGGCACAGCGACACTACCTTACAAAGCACACAAAATGATGGTGCTGGGATTTGAACCTAGGCAATTTGACTCCAACATTTATGTCCTTAATCACTGTATTAGGTTGTCTTCAGGTTCTATATTTACATCCCACTGTTTAGCACTCAGTGAATTCCTTCTGGATCCTAGCTACCTCTAAGCCATTACTATCAGATGTTAGTAAAAAGACAGGGTCAACGTTTAAAATGGCCATTCACTGGGATTCGAAACACTGGCCCGTTAAAATTCCCAACTTCCACGCGACTCAGAAATTACTCAACTGTCTTTTCCTAAACCCAGGGCTCCACCCAACTTAGTTAACTTTGTTGTTGCACAGCAACGGAACATCACCACACAGGAAACAAGGAGGATTATTTTAGACTGAGGATGCCGCTGCCCAGTATTCAGGCAGGGCCCTATCTGCCTCAATCACCCCAATTCTGGACCAACCCAATCTTATTAAGTGATTGTTCTGCTTCCTGTGTTGCACCACAACAGATTTCCTTGGGCTACATTTTCTCTCAGATTTGACGACAAGATTCGAAGCCAAGCTAAGAAATCTAACTTTTGAGGTAGATCCGGCAGAAAACCCGTGGCGGGACCGCAGTTTGCGGCAGCGAAGGCTACAAAAGAGCTCAACTGCATCCGCCGGGGCTCTCACAGGGACTGCTAACGTGTTTGACTGTCAACAGGCCATTGAACCCCTCTTTCGTGGTCTCTGCCTTTGGAGTTCACAAGCTGTAAATTTAACACACAGCCCGCCGCGCGGCTCTGGGTCCCGGATAGTCTGAGGAAAGGCCTTTGCTGGGGGGGACCGCGGAGAAGGGACTGACGGGAGCCAGGAGAACGGGAGGGGCATTCTCAGGCGTCCTTCACAAACACACAAAAACTAGGAAGCAGGAAGGGAAGGCGAAGCAAGGAGAGAGGAGGGAGGGGAAGCCGTGAATAAAAGCGCGCCCCTCCCGGCATCGGCTACTCGTCTTAAGCTCCTTCCGGAGAGCGCCCGACTGCTGCTAAGGATTGCGGCCGCGCGCGCGGAGTCCCACAGCTCTCGGGCGCTGGGCGGAGCAGAGCCACGCGCCTCGGTCAACCTGGCCAATCACGCTTTTCGGCCCCTGCCGCGCGGCCTCGCCCCGCCCCCTTGCGGAGGCTCGCGGCCGCGCGCGCGGAGTCCCACAGCTCTCGGGCGCTGGGCGGAGCAGAGCCACGCGCCTCGGTCAACCTGGCCAATCACGCTTTTCGGCCCCTGCCGCGCGGCCTCGCCCCGCCCCCTTGCGGAGGCTCGCGGCCGCGCGCGCGGAGTCCCACAGCTCTCGGGCGCTGGGCGGAGCAGAGCCACGCGCCTCGGTCAACCTGGCCAATCACGCTTTTCGGCCCCTGCCGCGCGGCCTCGCCCCGCCCCCTTGCGGAGGCTCGCGGCCGCGCGCGCGCAGTCCCGCCGCTTCGGGCGCAGGACTGAGTGGAGCTGCGCGCGTCAGTCAATCTGGCCAATCGCGGGTCTCTTCCGCCTCCCCCCGCGGCCCCGCCTCTCAGACTTCCGGCTGCCGGCAGCAGCTGGGTAAGTTCTCTACGCTCTCCGGGAATGGCGGAGGGAGGAAGCGTGCTGGTCTTGGAGTGGGCGTCTGAGAACTGGATTTCTTCGGGGATTGGGTGGGGAGTCGAGTAGCGCTCCCTTTCCCTGGTCAGGGAACCTCTCAGCTCCACCACAGGCCTGGGGTCTCTCGAGGGCTTGCTGTAGTGGCGGGAGGGGAGGGAGGACTCCCTGTGGTATATTTTTCCCGGTAAAGTTGATGGCCTTTGAGAAGCAAACTTCAGTCCCTCCTTTTCAGGGTCTCTTCGCTGCTTAATCGAAAACGATGCAGCCAGGAGTAAGTTTATCTGTGCTTGGGCTCCTTATTCCTCAGGCCTGGAGGGTCATTTGTTTTAGGCACACAGCCTTTAGGATTTAGGGTAGCGTGACAGGTCTGATTATGTTTTTTTGAGTCAAGATTTCAGTTACATTTCCTTTCATTGTGAGGCTGCTGTAATGAAATTAAAGAATTCCTGACTATCCAAAGTTGTTATCCAACTCACCCCCCCCGAATATGGCAGGTTTTGAGGATTTTATCAGATTTTATCCATCAATAAAAACAAATGTGGAGTTGTTCATATGAGATGCTAGCTAGTTAACTTGTCATGAAAAAAACTAGTAGTCACCATAATGAGCAACACAATCCGATTTAGGAAAGTAAATGGAAAACTGCAAAAAAAAAAAAAAAGCAAGAATGAATCACAACTAAGTGAAAGAAGGAAGTTGGCTGGCTTACTTGGTGATGTTATGTAAAACAATAAAAAATTCTTTGATAAAAATTGAGGAATATATAGAGGTGTGGGTTAATTTGATTTCCGTTTTGTGATTATTTTTTGTTTTTTAGAAGTAAAGCAAGATTTCAAGATGGAAAGTCCATCAGACTCAGCTGTGGTGTTACCTAGCACTCCACAGGCTGGTGCCAATCCACCATCTCCTCGTACAAGCAGTTCAAGAAAACAAGTATGAAAATCTTAGTTCTTTCAGTGGATCTATTCTATATTTCTAAGTATTGTGGCAATGGTGGTTTCAAGTCTACTGAACATTGTCAGTTACCGTAATGTGTAAATTAGTAAGTAAAAACTTTATTAACATAATTTTAGGTCTTTCCCCTTAGATAGTGTATTGGACCTTCCCCTCAAATTTTCATCTTGACCCAATTATTTTTATTTAGTTTCAATTCAAGTTTTTACGGCATTCCAAACAGGAAGTTTGAATCTGACATCATGAAGGTCTTTGGGGGAAAGATCTAGGTCGTTTCCTTAATTTGTAACTCTGAAGCACCTAACCATGTCAGGCTTGGGACAATTGCTGAACAAATGTTTGTGATTACTGAGATAAGTGTTTCAGCACTGTTTTAGAAGGGTGCCAGCTCTGCTAATATAAAAAGGGATTAAAACTTAGTGGAGCTTACAGGAATTAAAGATATTTTGTGATGGTTACTTTAGATATGTGGAGACAGAAAGTCATCTAGTGGTGTCTGCCATAGAAACGTAAGGTCTTGATTTCTAGATTTATTTATATCAAGAATGTTTTTCTTGATTAACATTATTAACGTTTGATGCCTTTTTCAGCCTATGAGTGCAACCCTTAGGGAACGATTAAGGAAAACTAGATCTTCATTTAATTCTTGTTATGGTGTGGTAAAACGACTTAAAGTAGAGAGTGAAGAAAATGATCAGACCTTTTCAGAGAAACCAGCACCTTCAACAGAAGAAAACTGTTTGGAATTTCAAGAAAATTTTAAACACATAGACAGTGAATTTGAAGAAAGTACATATTTGAAAAATACCTTCAAGAATATCAATGCATGTGCATCTAAATCACTTGATTCTGAGTCATGCAGTGATCTCCGGAATGACTTTATGAATGAGAATCTTCCCAAACATGGATTAAACAAAGAAAAAGCGAAATTGGTGAAGCAGATTCAGGAGAAAGAAGAACTTCTTCGGAGGCTAAAACTAGTCAAAATGTATAGATCAAAGGTGAGAAGAATTTCAGAACCATTGCCTAATTAATTTTTTTATTTTTAGATAAATGGTAGGAAAGTATTTCAAAAAGAAAGGTTTATTTTAGCATAATAAGAAATAAGCCAAGTATCCAGAAACCTGGCTTCCAACAGCTTTAACTCAAATATGTCATAGATTTAGAGCAGAAGAGGCCTCTAAACACCAGGTGTAACTTTTAAAAGTCCCAGCCCTTATTTAATATGCAGTTGAAGCTTTCTATCTAGTTTCCAGCCCACAGCAGTATTAGAAGCTTCAGATGTTAGCTGCAAGTGGCAAGGAGAACAGAAACAACAGTGACAGTGAATGAGAAAAAAAGCTAAAAATGAACCACAGAGTACAATGAAAAGTAATTTTAGTAATGCTCTTTTGTTATTCAATTATGTGTAACAAATTATTAAAATATTCTGAGCATTTTCTTTAAGAGAACAACAAATAGATATTCGATTTTAGATTTCAACGCAGATAAGGTTGAAGAAAATAGAATTTGGGCACTTGGGAGAAGATGACCCTTACTTACCTGGATCATTCATGTGTATTGCAATTGTGCCTTCTTCCCCAGCAATGTGTAATAAATGATGGAATACTGTATCTTATTTGCTCTCTTGAATTTTTAGGACTTCTCTAAATATAACTACTTGAGTTTTATGAGATAGTGACATTGAAAAATATTAATTTGAATATCATTTTTTAAAGTACAGCTGTGGTAGAAAAAGTAGTTTTTTTTTTTAAACCCATATTGTTGCTTCTTTACATAGTTTTGCCCTATTTAATGATTCGATTTTTCCCTGAGGGTAAGGATAGCCCAGAGCTTCTACCAAACAGCCATAGAACTCAATTTGAGTGATAGTTACTTAAAACCATCCTACTTTTTTCCTGGGTAGAAGTCCCGTTCATGTCCAGATGTGTTACCCTTTAAACCTACTACTCATCGACTGATTTGACAGCTTGCGTTAAGTAAGTTAGGATGACTATCTAGTTATTGACATACATTTATGTCTTTTTTTTTTTTTTCTGTTTCAGAATGACCTGTCTCAGTTACAGATGTTAATAAATAAGTGGAGAAGCTGTAGCCAGCTGTTGCTTTATGAGCTGCAGTCAGCTGTGTCTGAGGAGAACAAGAAACTAAGCCTTACTCAGCTGATAGACCACTATGGGTTAGATGATAAATTGCTACACTATAACAGAAATGAAGAAGAATTTATAGGTGTTTAATTCATAATTTTTTTTCTCCAGAATGTCTTTGTGGATGACAATGTAATTAAAAGATATTTATACATTTTAAAGGGAAGATGTAAACCATTAGGGCTTAGAGAAAGGTATCCTGGTGAACCTGGATCAATTTAGGGCCTTTGTTATATAAGTATAAACTAGGTTCTAAAATGAAAATTTAGTGTTTTGAATAAATTTGCCAAAGAAAACTTGACAGTTAAAGAAAGGTGAAAAAAATTTTAAAAATTAAACCATGATTAAAAAAATAATTTGGACAACTGTGGAAGTGAGTTTTAATACATTGTTCTATTTATTGTGGTAAAAGTTTTATTTTAAATGTTAAAAAACAGTCCATATAGTGAATGTCTAAACCGAAACTTGTCTGAAAATTCCTGCCTCTCCTAAGTTTATGCCTCTCCTTTGTTTCCACCCATTTACCACATATTTCCATCTGGATGGTCTAGCAGGTAAACTCATATGTTCAAAATTACATTAGTTTCTGTCTCTTCAAATTTGTTACTTGTATTCGTCATCTCAGTTAGTGAAGTGATCATCTATTTCTTATAAAACCACATGTCCTCATCACCCACTTCAAGGCATCACGGCATACAGGGCCTTTTACATTCATCTACCTTTCTAGTTTTATCTGTGAAATAGGTAAAAGCTAGCGTATCTACTTCATTAACAGTGACTCCTCAGTCAGAAACCCACCTTCACTGGGTTGGGGTTCTGGCTGCCATGTTGTACATTATCTGTCATCCCGGCCATAGATGGACCCAAGCATCCCAGTCCTTGAGAATTCAGAATTGAGCTCAAGAAAAGAAAGCCCATCTCCTTCTGTGTCTGGAGCTGTTGTATGTGAACTTGAAAGCAGAAAAGCTGGTGTGCTTAAGTCTGCCCTTACAGAGAAAGGCAGAGATGACGGAGAGAGAACTTTGTGGGTCAGTGGCTTCTTGGTTCTGGTTTCCAGTCTGTCGGGTCCCTTTAAGGGCTGAGACAGCTTTACTTAGTTGTGTTTTTTTTTTCCCCCAATCTTAAAAGAAAAGTACTTCCCTACTACTTGGTAAACAGCCACTACCCTAAGCTTCCCCCCTCCGCCCCCAGCTGCTCCTTACTCTCAGCCCAGTCCTTCCCCGTGACCCAACAGACTATTAATGTTGGCATATCAAGACCCTGCTCTTGCATGCATTCTAATTGTTAATGCCCATGCCAGTAACCTACCCCTCACCCCGGCCTCAATTCTTGCCTTCTAGACACTGCCATTGTCATTAGCTTCTGTGAACCCAAGAGGACTGGCCTTCCCTGCCTCTGAGATTCCCAGATGGGCATCCCTGGGAAGCTGTGCTGACCAGCCTCCATTGCTTCTTGCTGCTCAGCCAGAGGTCCTAAATGTGGCAGGAGAAGTGGTTTCCCTGGTGATGGTGCCAGCATTTGACTGCAGCTGCCCATTACTGACTAGCACATCCCCTGGAGTTACCCTTACCCGTCCATTTGGGGGAACTACAGCATCAGTGGGACTCTGGTTTTGGGAGAGTTGGGGTATAGCAATGGGGATTTCTAAGGCATTGGCTAGGTGCTGAGGGCTCCAACAGCTCAGTGGGCACTTCTACAAGAGGAGGTGGGTCATGGAGTATGGATGGGGCTTATGGGAGGGTTTGGGGCCTAGGGGTGCCCATGAAGCAGTCCCCTTTTTAATAATTTCTATTGAATTTCACCTCCATTTAATAAGAACTACTGAATAAGAATTATTTTTATTCATTAAAATGAAAGCTAACACTTAGCACTTGCTTTGTGCAAGTTTTAAAAGTATGTTAACTCATTTGAGTTTTACAATTATCAACGTCACAGTTTTAAAGATGAGGAAATTTTAAGATTAAGTAGTTATTTAGTGACAGGCAGAATTTGAACCCAAGCAACCCAGCAACAGAGCTCATAACCATGTTATGTTTGACCCAATTAATTATATATATTACTACTTGATAATATAGATAATATTTTAAAGGGCTATAAAAATACAAATATAATTGCTCTTAGTTCAGCAGAAGCTGAGAGCAATCAGTACCATAAACATATCAAGAGAGAGGACTGGGTTCCATGACCCATGTGCCCTTCCAAAGCACCTGCCAATAACCCCAGAGCAGAAGATGCCTCTTGTTGAAAGTGCTGCTACTAGAATACAGGTTGGGGGCAAGAGGCTCTTGCTAACCTCCACTCTATTTATGCCTCAAGGCTGAGGCATTCAAGCAAGGAGCATTGCCATAATCACTCAGGGTAGACATTAAGAAACAGAAATGAAACAGGCTGTTAAGACCTGGGAATCCACAGAGCACTGTCCAGTGAAATGTGTGGCCTTGCCTTAGTAGCAAATGGAGGCTCCAGTAGCTAATTTAGGTGACATGGAAATGTTACCAATAGGCACTACCCTGGTTAATCAGCCAAATCAACTACTTTAGGAATCATTCTAGGTCTAAGGGGGGGAGTTGTCAAAATGATGTTGGTTCTATTTTCCTTACCATTCCCACCACTGATCACTATACAGGTGATCAATTATGGTACTATCCTGGCAATTTCTAAATAGAAGGTTTTAAAACTTCTAATTTTTTTTTTCTAAATAGAATGTTTTATAATTGCTCTCTTGCTTTACCTACACCAGTGTACATTGGATATGGTGTTACTAATTAAACTTAACATTTAATTCACAAATTGCAGAACATTGAGACATTGACACCTTTTGGAGATTGTGGTTAATGATCCCAATGGTATTACCTTGGAATGCAGCAGTCCATAGGCTATGGAAAGGCAAAGCAGTTTTCTGGACAGTTAATCTTCTCCTTACTTATTTATCATCATCTACATGAATAAAGTGATAAACTATTTCATGGAAATGTAAGAATTCTGATCACCAAATTCCTTTGTGTGTGTCTGTGTTTCTCCACACCAAGCAATTCTCAAAACACCATCTGGATGACCTACAATTCAACTCAATTCTGACACATCTATCTGGAGATAGCATCAGATTCTACAAGTTAAGGGCTCAGTCCCACAAGACTGCCCTCCACTTCAGATGCCATATGAAAAACCAGATTGTTACCTGTGCTTCTGACCGGCTGGCAATAAATCAGAGGTTCCCAAGATTCCCTCCTTCCTTGGGTTCAGTTAATTTGCTAGAGTGGTTCACAGAACTCAGAGAAACATTTTATTTATCAGATTACCATTTTATTATAAAAGGATCTAACTCAGGACTTGGGATGGAAGAGATGCGTAAGGCAAGTTATGGTGAAAAGCTCAGAGCTTGCTTGCTCTCTCTGGGCACACTCTCCAAACCTTGTCCTTCTGGGCTTTTATGGAGACCTCATTACATAGGCACAATTGATTAAATCATTGGTCATTGGTGATCAATTCAACTTCCAGCCCGTTTACCCTTCCTAGAGGTGGGGGTGGGGGGTGGGTGTGCGTAAGGGTGGGTGGGTGGATGGGAGGTTGGGACACAGGGTTGGTTCTCCTGGCAAACAGCCCCCATCCTTAGGTGCAATCCAAAAGTCACCTCATTAACATAACAAGACACCTGTACCTCTCTCATCACTTAGGAAATTCCGAGGGTTTTAGGATCTCTGTGCCAGTAATGGTGTTGAAGACCAAATATATATATTTCTTATTATAAATCACAATATCACAAAATGAGAAAATGCTTTTCTTCTGTTTACTAAACTATCATGTGGGGCACAAAATTAAGTTCTGTTGCAAATACATATGAATATAGAAGATTATGTCATGTTTATGTAGAACGTCTATGTAGAAGAAAATATGTTGTAATTTACAAATGATTTAGGGCTTGGTAAAAGTAAACAATTCACCTTGTTCCCATTGGTAGGACAGGGAATAATCTTTTTTTTGTTGTTTTTTTGTTTGTTTGTTTTGTTTTTTTTGCTGTACGCGGGCCTCTCACTGTCGTGGCCTCTCCCGTCGTGGAGCACTAGCTCCGGACGCACAGCCCCAGCAGTCATGGCTCAAGGGCCCAGCCGCTCCGCAGCACGTGGGATCCTCCTGGACCAGGGCATGAACCTGCGTCCCCTGCATCGGCAGGCAGACTCCCAACCACTGCGCCACCAGGGAAGCCCGGGAATAATCTTAAACATTCTATTAATTTTTTTTTCTGATGATAGAGAAATGCTTACTGAAGAAAATGGGAAATATAGAAAACTATAAAAGATAAAAATCATTCATAATCTCATAACATTTCTGGTAATTTTATAAAATTAGAAATACCAGTAGTGGCTAAAAATAATTTTTTGTCTTTAAGACTTTCTATATTACTACTGTGAAAATAACTTTTGGTCAAATTAAGACTTAATAAAACGGATCTTGAATATGTTCTGAGTTAAAATCGTGTTCATTCTTGAATAAAAATCATTCATGTTATTTTAGACATTCATGCAGGACAAACATTTTTATAATGACTAAGGCTAAAATCAAACAATTTGCTATTAAAAATATGCCACTAAGAGGAGATTCTACTTAAATTTCCTTATATAAAAGAAACAAATCATTTTAACCAAATGAAATTATTTTTAAAATGACTGATTTGGTCTTATGTTTCCCACCAGCATTTTTACATTTGAAGGAGAGCAGGAAATGTTTTCATCCTTAATCTTTCAGCTTCAGCCTGTAGTACTGAAATCTGCTCAGCTTGTTCTTTTGAAATTTTTGTTAACTTTTGCTGTTGCATCATGTTTTCATATCGTTCTTTGGCAATCTTTTCACAAGTCAGTGTAGACCCTTATCCCAGAAATGAAGAAGGAGGAATTATTTGGATTATTATCTATACTTTTAAATACAGAAACAGCACTCAGAATCAATTAAACATATGGAACAAATACTGGTAGCTTTATAACCACTGTACAAATTTTAGGAATTATGATCACTTTTAAAGAAACTGACAGTTGATTAAAGAAAAAAATCTTACCCACTGCATTACAGATGTCTTTTCTCTCTGAGACAGCCACCAGTTCTTCTCGTAAATTGCAGCTTAGGGTATAATTTGCTACATCTTTTTGATTGCTGTACCTTCTCA